TAGGCGACTGCTCACTTCCTACGAAGACACCGAAGTCAAAACGCTTTCCCGAGAGCAAAATGACTCTTGAGTGAGCACACCAAGCGGTCACCATTAAGGAGCAAGTTTCATTACCAGTACCCGCGTGTTTCTAGGTCACAAACAAGATTTAAAAGCACAAAAGGGCAAACCTACTTGGGAGTTGCCCCTGGGGGTGGGGGGGGGGGGTCAATCCCCTTCGCCCCTAACCAAATGTCAGGAAGGTAAAGGGGACCAAAATACTGACTACTACCAGAACCGTCTTAACAATGTTATAGGCTCCTGGGCAAACCACGGTGCCGAGGCACCTATGACAACCATTAAATATGTTTCGAGACTCGGAATTTTTAACAAGGACTTCTAGTGATTTTCCTTAGTCTCTTGGTAGTAATATCAGACGCCCTTGAGTATTGCTGCGCACGTAAAAATCCCTTAGAAATCGAAAAGAGTAGCCTAACGATGCTGCATGGACAAAAGTCTGGAGTTTAAAATATACATAATTTGCTTAAGGATCATCGTCGGTGCTACGGAGTTCGTGCATTGTGCTGAGATTCTTCGGACTCACTCCTGAGTTAGAAGTAGAATGAAGCACTTATGGGTTACTACTGTTGTTCCATGATGTTGATCCGTTGTAAAAACCAATTTATAAGAATGAAATGTTTAATTATGGTACATATTTCCCACTGTCTTTTCTTCTTCCTAACCCATCTTAGTCCCAACTCGGTGTATATACAGCGTTTATATTATTAGACTGACCATTGTATGGAATTCACGTGAATTTTTTTAAGTGTTAATATTTACATATGTCATTGCAAAGGGACATGTGGTTGTTAATTTTTATCGGCTCGCTTATAAAGTATGTTTATCTCTTTCAAGTACTTTCTTTTTAATTTTGTTTTTGTGTGGTCCGTTCTGGCTTGTTTCCTTCTTTTGACAAAAACCATCAGTTGATCATCTTCTTTCCTTTCTACATTTTAATCATTTCCTTCTCTTTAATTCTACCTCCAACTTAAATTTTCAGTTCAACTGTTTGACCACTAAAATGTTTCAAAATGTACGTGCGAGAACCGACATAAACAAGGTGTTAATGCTTTGACCTACCACCTCACCAGTCCTCTCCGGGAGGGCAGATTAAACAGCTTCTACGTGTAGGGTCCACCCGGCAAGAAACAAGAGACTGGGATTTTAACTGGGCATATAATTAGATAATAATTCACATAATGAATATGAATACCTAAAGCTTCTTACTCATTTGTATTAGTCATGTTTCTGTTTTTAAGACTGTCATGATGTTGTTGGAATACGCTGCCATTTTTGGAATAGAATATAACTGTCTCTTTATAGATCCATGCTGTGTGGCGTTGGTAATCATGTCTACCCACAACCTTCTGTCTCGTGTACTTTCACTGGGTTATGACACAGATCACTTTGCATGCCATGATGTCAATCTGTCCAGCATCTTCTGTCGCGGTCTCTGCATCTTTCCCCCTCCAACTTTCCCATAGTCGCTATGTATTCCAGGTCCCCCCCCCCTCCAACTTTCCCATCGTCGCTGTGTATTCCAGGTCCCCCCCCCCCCTTTTTTTCTTATGACTTGACCTGAGAATGTAGATTGTTTCTTTTTGCATTGATGAGGTCGTGTGGTGTAATAGGGAAAATAATTAGGACCGCATGGCTAGTGCTGTCGCTACGGACCGCGCAGGTTAGGAATGTATCTTTTGCTACTGACCGAAAAACAAAATATTCGTCAAGCTTACCGAGATTTCGAACCCGGATCTACATGTTGAGAGTTCAGCGGCTTGGAAGATCATCTGTGTCAGAAGGATTGACAGTACAGAAAACAAGAGTGGGCAGACACGACTACCAACGCCACACAGCATGGTCTATAGAAGAAGAAGACGAAGAAGAAGAAGAAGAAGAAGAAGAAGAAGAAGAAGAAGAAGAAGAAGAAGAAGAAGAAGAAGAAGAAGAAGAAGAAGAAGAAGAAGAAGAAGAAGAAGAAGAGAAGAAGAAGAAGAAGAAGAAGAAGAAGGAGGAGAAGAAGAAGAAGAACAAGAACACAAAGAAGAACAAGAAGAAGAACAAGAAGAAGAAGAACAAGAACAAGAAGAAGAAGGAGAAGAAGAAGAAGAAGGAGAAGAAGAAAAAGAAGAAGGAGAAGAAGAAGAAGAAGAAGAAGGAGAAGAAGAAGAAGAAGAAGAAGAAGAAGAAGAAGAAGAAGAAGAAGAAGAAGAAGAAGAAGAAGAAGAAGAAGAAGAAGAAGAAGAAGAAGAAGAAGAAGAAGAAGGAGAAGAAGAAGAAGAACAAGAACACAAAGAAGAACAAGAAGAAGAACAAGAAGAAGAAGAAGAACAAGAAGAAGAAGGAGAAGAAGAAAAAGAAGGCGAAGAAGAAGAAGGAGAAGGAGGAGAAGAAGAAGAAGAAGAAGAAGAAGAAGAAGAAGAAGAAGAAGAAGAAGAAGAAGAAGAAGAAGAAGAAGAAGAAGAAGAAGAAGAACAAGAAGAAGAAGAAGAAGAAGAAGAAGAAGAACAAGAAGAAGAACAAGAAGAAGAACAAGAAGAAGAACAAAAAAAAAAAGAAGAAGAACAAGAAGAAGAACAAGAAGAAGAACAAGAAGGGGAACAAGCAGAAGAACAAGAAGAACAGGAAAAAGAAGAAGAAGAAGAAAAAAAGAAATAGAAGAAGAAGAAGAACCGGTTCTTTTCTTTTACTTCAACCCATCTCGGGGCCTGCAAGATTCAGTGAAGAAATTCCAGAGAAAGTCCTATAGTATAGTAATTTTAGGGTTAGGGTTAGTGTTAGTTTCTCATGAACGAACAAAAGTAACACACACTAAAAATTATGACGCAATAAACGCTGAAAACAACCAATACATTCACACAGAAAGAAAGTTAGCGCAACAGTGGAACGACTGATTCAATAATTAGTCAGTCACCTAGTCAATAGACCAATCTATAAACCAGTCAATTATTAAATAAATTAATCAATATAGGTATCCGTGAATCAGTCAGTCAAACAATCAGCCGGTCATTTGAATGTTGAAATAATCGACATTACAGCAAGCGATGATTTCCAATTCTGACGGTGCCAGTACCCGTCTGATTGTATATCCGTCTCATCCTTCCCCTGAGCGTTGAGCGTCGGCCAGATCCCCTGGTAACTGCCTCGCAGCGCCATTCTCCTTAGACCATAATGATCTATCTGCGCCTGCGCACTGTTCACTCGCTCCCAAATGGCCCTCACTATATCTAACTTGCCATACCTCAATTCCCCACCAAGTGGTGCAGAGCCAGCAAGTCTATCTGCCTGTTTATTTCCCAACACACCGGCGAACCTGGACAAAAATATCTAAAGGATGTTAACTACACAGGACCTCTAAAGTGATGCTTGCCACTCTGCATGAAGCATGCCTGTCTCCACCTTTCTCAACATGCTATATGAGTCAGTTCCAATCACGGCATGTGTGTACGGCGGATTCTCAAGCCAGCAGAAGGCAGCAGAGATTGCCTCCATCTCCATTCTCAAACTAGACGTTGTGAAATCATATCAAGGCTGTGCTGGTCCTATTCAGTCAATAAATCAAACAGTCAATTAATCGGCCAAGCAATCAGTTAATCAGGCGCAGTCTGCACAACGCAATGGATCTCCAATACTTTATGTTTCGTGATGTTTGAAGTTTGAGGTTTCAAAGTTTTAAACAACGGATGAACATCATGGCACACGGGTGGTACCCATGAGTGCTGCGTTTCTCTTCTGACTCAAGTCTGAGTCCGAAGAAGCTCAGCACAGTGCACAGGCTCTGTAGCACCGGCGAGAGTCCTGACATGGTTTGGGTAGATTTTTAACTCCAAATTTTGCCTGGGCTGCGCCGTTAGGCCACTCTTTTCGACATCCAACTGTCAATGGATTTTTTACGTGCGCAACAATGCACACTGGCGTCTGATCTCACTACCCAGAGACCAGTGGGAATTACTAGAAGTCCAATTCCAAGTGAAAAAATCCCAGCCCTTACCGGGAATTGGACCCGGAGCCTCTAACACTCGAGGCGGACACTATGCCTCTAGACCACGCAGCACCCTTGTGTGTTTGTCGAATTACAATACTGTCTCAGACTACTGTTCGTCCACCTCTTGACGTTGTCCTCCCACTTGTATCACTGCCTCTCGCTTGGTTTCTTGTCTTAGTAATTTCCTTCCAGTGTAGTTTTAAAACAAGTAGTGTGTCTATTGCTTGAAGAATCGCTGAACTCACCTGGTTTAGACTTAACGAAAATGTCAAAGGCTGCCCGTTAACCTGGGCAAGACGCGTGTTTACACTAGCTAGCCGGAGCAAATATGCGGGTCTACAGCAGGGCTACCGAAGTTGGTACTTTCATCTCCTTGTGTGGGTTTCGGAACCCTATTATACAGATATTTTCTCTGGATTTGTATTGGTTTTTGCTGAAAGAGGTAAACGCCTGCCAAAAAACCTATGGTCAATGCACTGGTGTACTAATACGCCGGCGGAAGGTTAGTCTCCCTTCGATGAGAGCGGGAGAGCTCTCTAAACCACAACTGGTCAATTGACACACGTTACATGAAAAAAAAAAAAGCAGTCTAACACAACACGAACTTGGAAAGGAAAGCTCAGTGGAGGGAAAATTACGACCAGGGCAAAATCATTTAAACGTTTTAACAGAAGTCTTTGTCAACAGACAAACAACAAAGAAATTAACAGCCAGATTTGGTAACGTAAAAACGTGGATGAGCAGCACTGAAACTAATCTATTTGGATTGCATAATAGGTGGTCTTAGTGGAAAAAAACACAAAAAACTCGGTAGTATCAGATTATCCCTGTGTGGCCTGGTATATATACAAACCTTTATTTTTGCATCCTTGCAGAAAGGGTGTGTCATAATAATTAGCTTTATTATAAGCTTTTATTATTTTCATATTTAAATCACTAAATACGTTTAATTTTTTTTTATTTATTTCAGAGAACAATGCCGGGGTCAGATGTCAAGCGGTGTATGGACTGGCTTTTCCAGCAGCAAGTAAGTTGTTATAACCTGCTGTCTCCTTTTCTGTCACAGATGTTTAGTCATTCAGCTGGTCTACTCAATCCTCTGTTACTTAGGTACTATCTTTACTTGCGTGTCGGCCCAAAGATTTTGGGTTAAAATCCACACCGATGCCTATTTGGTAACTGGCCTAACGCTCAAAGGTGGACAACGCTTAAAAAGAGTATCAAGAAAGTTCGTGGAATGAAAATGCTAAGTACCGACTGAGCTATAAAATATTGGTATAGACTTAAATACCCAATACCGCTAAAGTAGAGCGAAAAGGCTCTTTTCACTAGTAATAGTAAATGTAATAGTGATAGTAGTCTTAGCAGTTGTAGTAGGGATATCGTGGTGGTGGTAGTAGTAGCAGTAATAAGTTTAATATTTAGTAGTGAAAGAGTGATAGTAGCAAGAGTAGCAGCGGGCAATAGTGGTAGTAGTAATATGGTAATAGTAGAAGTAGTAATAGCATAAGTAGTAATAGCAGAAGTAGTAATAGTATAAGTAATAGCAGCAGCAGTAGTACACTTCCACTACAACAGAAGTTCTAATATATGGGTCGTGACCCTTTTATTGGGTCAAACGACACTTTCACAGGGGTCGCCTAAAACCATTGAAAAACAAATATTTATTTGAGTTATCAAATAGCGACGAAAATAATTGTACGCTTGTGGGTTGCCACGACATGAGGAACTGCATTAAAGGGTCGCCACAACATGAGGAACTGTATGAAAGGGTCGCAGCATTAGAAAAGTTGAGAACCAGTGCACTACAAGCCCCACTAGCAGAACCTGTTGACCCTTGACAGCCATACGGAATCAAAACTTTCACACACACACACACACACACATACACACTACTACATGATGACGTAACTGGGCCATTTATTCTAAAAGTTAAGCAGAATTCTTGTGGGAATTTTTCCATGATAAAGTTGTGAACATGAATCAGACAGCACTTCCCATAGCACTGTTTCATAAACTGACATCTAAAACTGTCAACGTACTTCATTTATGCCTGTTTTATGGTTTTTTCTTTCATGGCGTATGTCTTGTTGTTTATTTACGAAACCTGCTGTTGTAGAGAAACAGCAACAAGGATAATCTGATCAGAAAGATAGGAATCTCTCTCTCTCTCTGTCTCAGTTTCTATCTATATATCTATATCTATCTAATCTATCTAATCTATCTATCTATCTATCTCTATCTATCTATCTATCTATCTATCTATCTATCTATCTATCTATCTATCTATCTATCTATCTATCTATCTATCTATCTATCTATCTATCTATCTATCTATCTATCTATCTATCTATCTATCTATCTATCTATCTATCTATCTATCTATCTATCTATCTATCTATCTATCTATCTATCTATCTATCTATCTATCTATCTATCTATCTATCTATCTATCTATCTATCTATCTATCTATCTATCTATCTATCTATCTATCTATCTATCTATCTATCTATCTATCTATCTATCTATCTATCTATCTATCTATCTATCTATCTATCTATCTATCTATCTATCTATCTATCTATCTATCTATCTATCTATCTATCTATCTATCTATCTATCTATCTATCTATCTATCTATCTATCTATCTATCTATCTATCTATCTATCTATCTATCTATCTATCTATCTATCTATCTATCTATCTATCTATCTATCTATCTATCTATCTATCTATCTATCTATCTATCTATCTATCTATCTATCTATCTATCTATCTATCTATCTATCTATCCATCTATCTATCTATCTATCTATCTATCTATCCATCCATCTATCTATCTATCTATCCATCTATCTATCTATCTATCCATCTATCCATCTATCTATCCATCTATCCATCCATCTATCTATCTATCCATCTATCTATCTATCTATCTATCTATCTATCTATCTATCTATCTATCTATCTATCTATCTATCTATCTATCTATCTATCTATCTATCTATCTATCTATCTATCTATCTATCTATCTATCTATCTATCTATATCTATCTATCTATCTATCTATCTATCTATCTATCTATCTATCTATCTATCTATCTATCTATCTATCTATCTGTCTGTCTATCTGTCTCTCTGTCTGTCTGTCTGTCTGTCTGTCTGTCTGTCTGTCTGTCTGTCTGTCTGTCTGTCTGTCTGTCTGTCTGTCTGTCTGTCTGTCTGTCCTGTCTGTCTGTCTGTCTGTCTGTCTGTCTGTCTGTCTGTCTCTGTCTGTCTGTCTGTCTGTCTGTCTGTCTGTCTGTTCTGTCTGTCTGTCTGTCTGTCTGTCTGTCTGTCTGTCTGTCTGTCTGTCTGTCTGTCTGTCTGTCTGTCTGTCTGTCTGTCTGTCTGTCTGTCTGTCTGTCTGTCTGTCTGTCTGTCTGTCTGTCTGTCTGTCTGTCTGTCTGTCTGTCTGTCTGTCTGTCTGTCTGTCTGTCTGTGAGTATATCTTTTACTTCTCCAAATAATAGTAATTTTTTTTTAAAGTGTGGTACATAATTGTAATCAGTGGCTTAAGAAAGATGGCCTTCGTATAGGTCATCTAAATATTTATCATTTTTTAGGCAAACTACCCGAGTTATCAGTTAGGCTCTGTGATCAAATTCATGTTTTTGGAATTACCGAGAGTCGCCTCAACAATACAAATTAAGGACAACGAAATCACCATTAGTGGGTTTACAGCAATTCGTAAAGACACTGAACAAAATTTAGAGACAGGCAAAGTAGTTTATATTTCAATTCTGTTAAATATTCCCGTATATGTGTATATATATATGGTCGAACGCCGAGTTGATGTTAAAATCAAAATACCCTCTGAAAGAAAAAGCTCCCTTAAATCTACTGCTGTAAGTATCGTTTCATGGAGTCTCACTGTTGCATAATGTTCAATGTTTCATTAATAATAGACACCACAGCACTCGGGGCATTCCCATAAGCGTGCCGTCCGCATCTTCAGCAGCAAGCGCAGAATTTAAATTCTACTGGTACTAATAAAAGTCTTACTGTATATCTGTCTCACCTTTCCCTTGAGAATCACTGCGAGACCAGATCCCCGGGTCCCTTGGTCCCTCCTCGCAGTACCATTCTCTTCAGATAACGATGATCCATCTCTGCTTCCGCAATGTTTATTCATCCCAAAGGGCCCTTACAACATCTAGCTTGTCATACATCAGTTCACCACCAAGTTGTGCAGAGGCAGTTGGTTAATCTGCCTGTTCATTTCCCAATACACCGGCATGGACTGGGGAAAATAACAAAAAACACGCTAACTACCTAGGACCTCTGAAACGATGTCACTGGGGCATATTTATCATGGGCAGGAAAGCTCAAGTAAGCGTAACGTACCTACATTAGAACATAATTCTAGTCACATTCCATCGGCCTAAAAGTATATAGGTTTTTCGTTAAGTTTAAAGCTCGTCCGCTGCTTCACATACTTGTGACATCCTACAGACCATACACTTGGACAGGAGTTTAACAGACCCACCCGTAACGGCCTACATTGTTTTTCCGTTAACCACCGGTTATACTTTTGAACGGGGTTTTGCAGGATTTGTACCTGTCAGATTCTGATCCACGAAATGGAAATGGGAAACCTTTAGTCTGCAATTCTTAAAAGGGTAAAGTGGTGGGGCGGGAGGAGGAGGGGGGGGGGGGATTGGCGATCAGGTCACACCCTTAGTTCGCCGGTAGACGACTTCGCCGCCAGTCGTGGCAGTATTTTGATCCGTCTCCTTTGATCACATCAACAATGCAAAGGTCCTTTTTTTCAGGGCTGCTTGGTGGCCATCAATGCTAAGCCATTTTATATGGCGCACATAACCTAGCCACAACCTGAAGATCACCCTTTGGGGATGCTGGCTAAACGTGACAATTTAAAAACATAAAAATAAAAAGTTTTCCCTCTGCAAAGCAAGCCGAGCCCAAAATTTAAAAAAAAAAGGGGGGGGGGGGGGAAGGAGTTCGAGAACTTTCCAAAAATGTCTTGTTGAGTTAAGCCCTTCTCTACTAATGTTGACTAAAAGCAAACAAGCGGGTTACGTAGATTAAATGACATTCCACTTGGCTGTATACAGTAGCCCCAGAATGTGGGATGGCAGTAATTCTTGTGCAGACAGCCCCGATGAAAATATATATATATATAAATTTAACAGAGTTCTGATTGTTCCTGGTGTTTGCAGAACGGGTGTATACACAAGTGAACATGAATACACGTTAATACATTAATGATATTTGCTAATTTTATAAATAGACATATTGATAGAAAGGTGGGAATTGTGGGAATTTGCGAATACACACATATATTGATTTATATGGATATGTTAATGTGTGTGTGTGTGTGTGGTGTGTGTGTGAGAGTGAGAGAGAGAGAGAGAGAGAGAGAGAGAGAGAGAGAGAGAGACAGAGAGATGGAGAGAGAGAGAGTGTGTGTGTCCCTGCATGTGTAAGTTTCAGTATGTGTTTATAAAAGTACGAAACGGATAATTTCACATTACTAAACCAATGAACAGTGAGTGTTTTTTAAAATATTTATTTCATATCCGTTTGCTATAATATATTGATTTAGTGTACAGATGTATGCCTTCACACCCATATAAAGTTATGCCCCTGTAGGCAGATTTGACTGCTTGTGGATGTACGGATGGATACATGACGATGGATGGATGGATGGATGTATGGATGGATATATGGATGGATGGATGGATATATGGATGGATGGATGGATGGATGGATGGATGGATGGATGGATGGATGGTGGATGGATGGATGGATTGATGGATGAGTGGATAGATAGATAAATGGATGGATGGATAAAAAGATAGGTGGATCGATGGATGGGTGGATAAATGGGTGGGTCGATGAATGGACAGAGAAGCAGACAGACAGACGAACAAGGATCTAACTGACTGGTTAAAAGGAAGGATGAGTGGGCAAATAATTGGAGCTATGGATCGACAAATAGATAAGGGTAAAAGCGAACAAA